AACAAATCTGCTGGAAGTAAACAACGGATAGTCAACAGACCATGTCGCTTGGGATTACAAAATAGCTTACAAAAGTTCGAGAGTAAATGACAAAAACATCATTGGAACGCTGCCAAAACGAACAATTATAATTCTATTCTTATAAGTCTGTCCTTTTGTACGTCTGTGGAACTCTATCTCAGCTTATCGCTTTTCTTTTAACTCTAAACTTCAAAAATCTAAATGCAATCGTCATCATCTGTCTTTCAGGATACTATGCTTTTTATTGTCCTTTCTCCTCTGACCTTTTTCTCAATCTCAGTATTCACTTGCGTGTTAGTCACGTTATCGTCTTCCTTAGTGTAAAAAGATTACTAAAGATGAGTGTCACATGTAATTAGAATGTATATTAAATATATAATAATTATGTACACTATTTACATTATTCAGACTATTGTCCTTATCTTTGCCGCCATGTTTATTACAACGTTTCGGCTGTTGGACGCTCCCGCCCTCTTCAGGTGGTTGGAATGTCAAACTGAAGCCTTTATTTTACTCACTGGGGTAGAACGTTCTAGTTCCACGTGCCATGTCTAGTGGATGTCAGTTATCTCTTGTTAATTCCCCTCTGGAAGTTTTCTTAACCAGGTATTGAACTCACACGCTTTGGGTCCTGTCTCTGGATCTAACGCCTGTATCCACTATGCCATGTGTCCTTGAGGGCACACGGCAGAGTGGATAAAGGCGTTATGTATCTGTTCTAGTTCCACATGCCATGTTTAATGGATGTCAGTTATCAGTTATCTCCTGTTAATTCTCAGGACACATGGCACAGTGGGTAAAGACGTTAGTTAGAACCAGTGACAGAACCAACATATTCGGATTTTTCATATACAACACCACATTCAATTTCAAACAATGGACTCAACAATAATAATAACAAAATAATGATGGTATCATTAACAACGCATCTCCCACAACAACAACTATTAATAAAAATAATAACGACAATCTCGTTGACAAAAAACCAACAAAACACCTCCTCGTCGATGTTGTTGTTCCTGTTGATCGGCCAGGAACAGCTACAAGGCTGGTCAGTTTTTACAATCCTACGGCTCAGTATCAAAGGTCAGAGGTATTGACAAACTTTAGAGATAGATTAAAGCTGCCAGAAAATGGAACCTTCAAAGCCACTGTTGTTTCAGTTTTCATTGGTCCGTTGGGTCTTATATAGCTGGATTTGAAGACCTTATACTTAGAAAATCGGTATTAAGCCTAATATCTTATCATTTCAGAAGTTTTCATTATCTGAGACTGAAAATATCTCAGAAGAATCAAAACTAGTCGCCCAGACATTGTTATTAGAGAACACAAACAAAAAATGCCTGTTATGGATATGGCAGTTTCTACAGACTGCAATGTATCTTTAAAGATCTTCAAAGATCTATCAAAATACAAGGAACTTGGAATCGAAATCTCAAAAATGTGGCACATGGGAACATCAACAATCACTGTTGTAGTTAGACCCCTCGAATTGGTTGGAAAAGATTACAGTAGACTAATTGAAGGGATTCCTGGAAGTTCATGCCTTAAAGAAATACAAAAAATTGTTCTCTCGAGTACACCCCGCACCTTACGAAGGGCTTTGTGTATGTAAAATATTTGTGTGTGTGTTTAATTGGTCAGTGGAAAATGTTATGATGCCATTTCTGACCTTAGATCTCTTGGTGAGATGCGGAAATAAATGAGTACACACGAGAAACCAAAGGTAATAATAATATTAATAATAATAATAATAATAAGAAGAAGAAGAAGAAGAAGAGGAAGAAGAAGAAAAAGAAGAAGAAGAAGAAGAAGGCTCATTGAAGGGATTCCTTGAAGCCTATGTCTTAAGGAATACAAACAAATTATTTTCACAAGTACAGCCAACACCTATACGAAGGGCTTTATCTATGTAAAATACGTGTTTATTTTAATTGCTCGGTGGAAAATGTCATCATGCCAATTCTGATTTTAGATCTCTGGGCGGGACCCGGAAAGAAATGTGTATATCAGAAATCAAAGGAAAAAAAATTAATAATAATAAATTACAGATGGTTACAGGTGGAATCTTAGTGTGCTAATCCAGCCAGGTTCTTTTTGATGAACACTTTTGAGCGCGAATCTTACTTTTTAGGGACCCTAAAAAGTAAGATTTAAGTTTAAATTTAGCTATTTTAATAACGAAATCCATCGCCTAACTGTACTCACGTCTACCGATTGGTCTTCGAAAACAGTATTGTGAGAAATGACCCCAAATGTAAAATCTATTTTATTTTTTCTTTGTTTTTCTGTGTTTAGTGAATTGTTTAGTGACTCTTCCGGTACCCTGTAGTGTGTGTGGGGTATCTACTAAATAAAATTTGTTTATTATCACTCTTATTGGCATCTGAAATTTGAACATTTTAATCGTTGGCCGATGGTACTCTGCATTCGCGTGTTTTTCTGTATGTAAACTGTGTAAACTTTTATACAATTAATTTGAAGTTAAATTTTTCTTTTCTTTTTAATGTTATTTAATTCAAGTCTTTTTGACTTAATTTTACTTTAATTTTTAAAAGCAATTTTATTTTTCGTGATAACCCCCAACGTATGCCCTTTGACCTTTCATCTGGTAGTGGTCATTGCGTCTTATACTAAGTTCAAATTTTTATAGTAAATAATATTTCAATATCTCTAAGACACCTCCCCAAATACAGGTAGTAGATAATGAACTTTTGAAACCTGAACATCTGAATATAACTCCCATATTTCATGTGTAGGACGAGCACTTTAGTCTTGGTCAAAATACCCACGGTGGTCAAGGATAAAACGCAAAAAAAAATGGAGAAAGAGTCGACAATATCAATGTCCGTCACCAGGGTCAACAATGGCTGCAAAAATATCTGTCACTGAAACAAATTCTTTCAACAACAATGTGACACCTGGTTACCAAACCGGGTACTATTTTCAACATTGGGCCAAATGACTAGATATCAAATCAACAAAAAGAAAGCGAACGAAATGGATTCCCGAAGATTATCAAAAAGTCATGACATCCTTTTTCACATCGCTAAAAAGTCCACAAAAGAAAATCAAGTATCAGGCATAGCAAATATTGAGAATTATGGTAGGAACAGGAATAAGACCCTATCTCAACCCAAAGATGCTTGTCAACGTCCGCAGGGACATGGTATGACGTAAAAGACATTCCAATGCGGAAATAGATCAGATAAAACTAAATATAAGACCCATCCCTCAAACAATAAAGAGGTCAGAATGGAAATAAATAATATAAGCGAGAATGAGATCAAAACTATTGTACGTAGGAGGTACACACACACCTCTTATCAACTGGCTATTAGGGGAAGGAGTGGTCCGTTAAAGTCGATTTTCCGTAGATGGAAAGGGATTATTTTTGAGTCATAAAGCCACTAGAGTAACTTCAAGTAGTTATGATCATAATGTAAATACTATAAACATGTATATATGGCATACATAAATATATACTTAAAATAGATATATTAATAAATTTCTCACACCTATTTTCTCACGCACGCGCTAATGAATCGTACTTTATAAACTATACACCTGTCTTTGTTTACAATTGAAGGGCCCGTCACCGCTGACAGGGGTTCATTTTGAAAACAAATACGACTCGTTCTGCTAAGGCCGCAAATTTTGAAATACATCGCTAACGATTTTGAGTTTTTTTTTTCTGCAGATTTTCTTTTTTTATTTTGCCTGTACATTTTGTCCGTTGCATGCGAAATCCGTTGATGGGTTGTCCGTAGATAAGAGGTTTGTCTGTACCTATTGCTAGACTCCAACTTTTTTCAAAACATCTATTTGTACGTTTCAATTTTCTCAAGAGGATCCAGTTGGGTGATGAGAACAGGTTATTCCTAAATGTTACTCGTTTGCTTATACGACATAGATCTATGGAAGGACATCTATTAATAGAGAATCACTGAGATCTTAAGATGATGTCTTTCATATATCCAGAAAAGTGTTTAACTTTTTCTAATCTCTTTCTTATAATAAGGAGGCTATGTGTTATTTTAGCAAGGCAATGCCTCTCTACATGTTTTCCGTGCTCCTGAAGACGTTCTGAAAGATGTTCTACAAGACTGACAATTATAACCACCAGATTATATTGATAATTAATAATTATATTGAAGTTTTGGCTCTTGTTTTGAAACATGAGACTCTTATGTAGCGTGTTGGAATCATTTTTTAAATATATATATATATATATATATATATATATATAAAAAAATATAGTTTTAATGTATGCTATATTCATGGGTAAAAGAGTTCAATAAACAAGGGAGTGCGCGTGTAAAAAAAAAATTGGAGACAGGGTCAACAGCAAGTTATGACAGTTTGTCTCATTCATGAAAATAATCTTCAGACTATGATAACCTGAGAATTGTGTTCAAACATAAAACAGACTATATATATATATATATATATATATATATATACATGAATTTTGAAAATTTATATTAAATTCTGTCATCAAAAATCATGTATCTGCCACCGGATATAATCTTTATCCTTAGTGGAATGTTATAAAATTCCATCTATTTTCATTATTCAAAGTTTTCACAAAAGAAAAGTAATCTATAAATGCCATTATAACGTACCAAATAAAACATATAAGCAAAGAAAAGATTTCACTTTTACAGACAATACAAACATTACAATGTCTGTGCAAGTGTAGTGGGAATTTCTTAGTGAAAATTTTCGAGACGACTTCTTAAAGATATTCAGCAAATAATGTAAGGTTATGTGTTTTGATGTAAAAAGAATGGAGATTCTATTTTCTGAAATATATAGAAAGAAAGAATTATGAGTGAAAAAAGATGTATTTCTCTGTAAAAAAAAAAGAAATAGATTCAATGAATTCGATTTATTTAACGATTGAAATGAACATTGTCGAGACCTCAATGTATAAAGTTTACAAAAATAGGAACTTTTATTTAAACAAAATCAAGTACACCACACATAGATAGATAGATAGATGGGAATAAAATTAGATGAATGAAGAGACATAGATAGATAGATAGATAGATAGATAGATATGAACAGAATTAAATGGATGAAGAGACCGAGATAGATAGATAGATAGATAGATAGATAGATAGATAGATAGATAGATATGAACAGAATTAAATAGATAGATAGATAGATAGATAGATAGATAGATAGATAGATAGATAATGGAATGCGGGCGATGTGCATATCTATTCGTATGAATAGTGGAAGAATAAATAATATCTACCAAATGTGTATTTCCACCAAATTTTAAACTTCTTTAGTACTAGATTAATAAAATATTTAGTGCTGAATTATTTAAAAATATTTGAGAAATAGCAGAAGGTCGTTTTAAATACACCATTGTTGTTCGAGCATACCCTTTAAACTTTATTTGGTCAATTTATTTTATTTTTATATTCCTCTTATCTGGTTTTTGCACTTCCGCACATTGAGAAAAAAAACCCCAAAAAACTGGTGTTATATCGCTCACCCAGTCGCAGACCTACACTGACTCTTGGTTAATACCTGCACCATATCTTTTATATGCAAATAGTCAGTGCCACTTACTACTCTAAGTCTCCTTCAACTTTATACTTCTAACGTTTCCGCCTAAACTCTAAAAATGTTATTTATTTTTTCCTTCAGTAGTAGATAAGTTTTTTTTTTTTTAATAGGAATAGAAGTTTGCGGTTCCTACTAAACACCGCTGAATATAAAATAAACATTTAACAAGGTTCAATGTCTGATTTGAGGAAATATATCACATAATCGGTGCAGTCGATAACTGAACATTATACAAATGAGATATAAGTTTGTAAATATATATATATATACACTTTTTTCACACACACACACACACACACACACATATATATATATATCGGAATAGGTGGGAAATAAGAAATCCAAGCAGTGATTATATTTATTTCACTGACTGGAAACGCTGAGGATATTAAAATTAGAACTAATTTTTTTTTCTCAGTTGAGTTTGTGTATTTTACTTATGGTTTTATTGTTAGCACTTTTATAATTAAATACATTTATTATTAAGATGCAAATTTATTATGGAAGATCAAGCGATCAAAACACTTTCTATACATTTTCGTCTTAATAAATTGCTTTTTCTTTTAATTAAAGCAACGTTTTTTTTTGTTTTGTTTTTTAGTTAAAATTATGGATAGAGTCGTTACCGGGAGTAACCAATGCATTGGGTGTGTTTTTTTGTAAAAGATCTCTTTTGTTTTCATGTAAACGTTTCTTTTTAAATTTCTTAATATTTTCGGGTTCAATTCCTTGTCTGACTCATGACAGGTGATTGTGTAGATTCCTCCTTTGAATTTTATCTTATTATTATTTCGTTTTGAATTAATTAATCTCTAACTGCTTTATTTTGAAATACGGAGATAATAATATATTCAGGTTTTTTGTTTAATCATTAAATATTATAGATCAAATATTACAAAGAAAAGAGATTGGATCAAAATTAACTCATTGCCGCTGTTAAAGTTGGTATTGACTGTAGAAATGGAAATCTGGTAATACCTTTAGATTTATAAAAAAAAGACGTTTAATTTGGTTTATTATAAGTTTCCATTAATAACCCATTAATGTCCACGCACTTATTTGTGGTGAAATGGCCATTAATGCATGTCAGTACATAGCAAATGATTGATTCACCCTTATACATTAGATAGATAAATATATATATATATAGAAGCAGAATGCAAGAGATAGATAAATAGATAGATAGATAGATAGATAGATGCAGAGTACAAGAGATAGATAGATAGATAGATAGATAGAAACAGAGTACAAGAGATAGATAGATAGATAGATAGATAGATAGATAGATAGATAGATAGATAGATGCAGAGTACAAGAGATAGATAGATAGATAGATAGATAGATAGATAGATAGATAGATAGATAGATAGATATAGATGATAGATAGATATATAGATAGATAGATAGATAGATAGATAGATAGATAGAATGCAAAAAGACAGATAGATAGATAGATAGATAGATAGATAGATAGATGAATGAAGCAGAGTACAAGATAGATAGATAGATGGATAGATAGATAGATAGATGGATAGATAGATA